GTGAAACTGCTTGAATTCAGGGTTTTTATTGGTTTTAATCACCTGTTTGTTTTGGAGAAATAGAGACCTCTGTGGATAATTCAGCTCCCTGTAAAAACCTCCAGAACAATGAACACTGAAGGAAGCGGGAGAAGTTTTAGTTGGCTGCAATCTGCAATCCTCACCACTAGATACCACTAACTCCCACCCTTGTTTGTTTAAGGGCTCATCAGAGTTAGTACATTTCATCTCGGGGGTGGACCATGAATGCTTGTAACAAATTTCATGACTATCCATCCAGTAGTAGTTGGGAAATTATCTCCCCTAAAGCTAAAAGTCACCTTTTAGTCTGCAGAGAAAGAGACTATGACCACTGGTTTCAGCATCTCTCTGTAGGACGATTTCATTAAGGCCAACATTCATCCAGATCTGTGAGACTGACCCCACTGCTCTTGCAATTAAACCCGGATTGCTAAGCTGAGGCACTGATCAGTAAGGTGTAGGTCAAAGATAGCACAGCGCGCAGTCTAGAGGTGTAATTTCAGAAAAAGCCAAGAAATGGCAAAGAGCGAAGCAAAGGAGATATTTTGCAGCTAAAGGTGAGAAAACTGATTACACCCCTGAGGGAATTAAAAAAACAGACTTATTATTAGGCCATCTCTGAAGCGTGGGTGAATATGTCATTCATTTTGAGAAACCACATTTCAGACGATGTTATTAGAGAGAACAGATTATGTATTTCAGGCACTTTCTTTAATGAGGCCCACCTACATTTTGGATCTTGAACCAAATCTTATCTTCTATAAAACAAAATCCTGGGTCCTCATGCAGTGTCACGATATGTTATTTAGCATGATGCAGTTTATATCAATCCATTCCTGTTCTAAAACTGAATTACTACACTTTAAGAATCAAACGGCTGCTGTCCCTCCCAACAAAAACCTGCCTTTGAGCCACTGACAGATGTAAATCCTGAATGCAATTCATGCTTAACTTGCCATTAACAATGAGTGAGCGATCAAAGGTGACATGTCAGAATTGGGTGACTAAGCATGTGTGTACTTTACAACTAAAAGCCTTTCTTTTTTTTGCTTTCTCTTTTGATGTATTTTCTTAAGTCCCAAGTCCTTGCCTAAACAACCAACAATGTCCTTGGTTATCCAAACACGTACTGGGTCCAGAATATTCTCACTAAACATCAAATTCTACCAAAAATGTTCAGGAGAAATATAGATGAGTGCTTCGTGTTGACAATTACTGTCATTCTTTTTATTTCTAATGCATCTCGTATAATTTTAAAGGTCTAGTGTGTGGGATTTAGTGGCATCTACTGGTGAGGTTACAGATTGCTACCTCGAGAAACTTCTCCTGTGTGCCAAGCGTCTAAGTAAGCTATGGTAGCCAATGCAAAAACGTAAAAATTCAAAACCACAAATGGCCCTATCTTGTCCATTCAGGGCTACTCTATAAAAACATGGCAGACTCCCTATCTAGATATATACAGCTTATTCTAACATGATAAAAACACAATGATTCTTATTTTCAGGTGATTATAAACTAATGAAAAGGGTCTATTCTGCCAATAGTTCTGCCCTATATCCTACACACTGGACCTTTAAAAGCCAGTTACCGTAAAACTTCGACTGATAGCCCAGGCTTATTATATATTATTTGCTTAAACCACTGAGTTAAACAGGCTTATATTTGGGGCAGGCGTTTATATGGTACAGACCTTTAATTCCTTTCACGCAAAACTGTTGCTCATCAAAGATGGGAAACACGATCAAATTGTTTATTTGAAGTATGAATATTACCTGTTTAAAAATTAGGCTGCGAATAACATATCAATTATACCTAATGTTAAGACACTTGTTTTACGGCACCCAGGATGACAACCAGTATACCGACACAACACCACTTTATCTTGTTAAAACGATATTCGTAACTTTGATTAATTTTCATGAAAAACACTTTTGATTCTTTTGGTTGGCTGACCTTTATGGACCTATGGTATGTACATAACTTACCAGGTGATCAAGGAATGGACATATATTCTGACTTTATCACCGCTTCAGATGAAGGGAGTTGTTTTTTCATCATGCTGGTAAATCTGACTGACTTGCGGTCTTCTCTAGTGCTCATGGTTTCAGTAAAATAAAATCAACCAAGCTAACAATGTGTAGCATCACCATATTGACAAAAGTTTAAACATTTATATTTGTACGTGCGATCTAAACAGCTAACTAATGTTAGCTCAAGTGGGCAGTCAACAATTTGGTTTTATACATCCAAAGAACTTGAAAATGAACTGCTTGGCAACCAGACCAGGCATCTAATTGAGCATAAAACTGGGACTAGGCTTTTAATTGACGTTTGCTGCTTCTTGACTCAAAATGTTGCATGTCCTTCACTAACTGCTGTGACACATGACAACATGTAAAGAACTGAAATGCAAATTGATGCTGCAAGCTTATAGATTTTTGGCAAATTCTGTAGATCAGTGTTGATAACGACTGAAAGCACCATGATTAAAAATTATAAATAGCAACGTGATGGTGACAGAAATAAGCTCTGTAGTTAGAGTGATAAAATCTGATCACAGGATGTGAAAGAGTCGGCCCCTCCATGTCAGCTCAAATAACAATTATAATTTTGACACGGTGTTTCAAGATTTCTATCTCTGCTAAATCTATCCCAGCGTGCACTGAACAGAAGAGAAGGAGAGCCTAAAAATGGCTCATTAACAACCACAACAGCAAATGTGCACAGCTGTGTAGTTTTCCTGTCAACAGCCAAACCCAAATCAGGAGCATTAACTTTTTGTGGTCATGTGAAGATGAGTCGACACATCTGTCATGCTGAGGCCAGAAAGCAGTAAGTGGAGCAGACGGAGGACTGAAGTCCAGCAAGTGTGTCGTTCTCACAATCAAAAGAGGGAGTCAAAGTACGGAAATCTTCAAGAGTTTGTGCTACAGCAGAAGTGATAGTTTTTAAATTTGTGATAAAATCAACACTACAGGAATGCGGAAAAACATTTTTTAATAAGTCGCCTGCTGAGACCAAATTGAGCTTTTAACAATCTTTCAGCAGAGTGAAATTGCTACTTTATAGCATCTACTCCAAGAAAATCCTCTGGTTTATTTCAAGCAGCAAAATGATTGGGACAAATTATATTATGTAAATGTAATCTTCCAACTCATTTTCAAGAACACAAAACACAAAGCAAATCCTCCATTCATTCACAGAACTGGCAACAATACCGACCTGTCTCTCAGCAAAAAGAACAATTATATAAAATGCAGCACCAGCGGATAACATGTGAAGTATCTATGAACTTTTCATTTGTGAATTAATAGCTAATTGAGGCTGCATTCCCCTTCCATCAAACCCGTGAGCAAGGCACTTAAAGACTCAGTCTAACCAGGCTGAGAAAGCAGTGGTTCACTGCTCCCATTGGTTCTGAAGTTTCAAGTCTATCACAGCTGGTCAGGTATGAAGCACTAGCGAAAGTTCAGTCAGAAGACAACACCTTTCATGCTCAGGCTGTAAGTTTCTTTCACTCCTTGCACATATGCTCACTCACTCTCTCTAGGTGTCATCGTCTGGGTAGGTCAGTTGAGTCATCAGCTGATTCACAATAACCCAGTAGCACAGCGACACACCTTCTCTGTCAGCCTATCATGTTACTGCTCCTCATTGTAAATATGGTTCTCTCCCTGCTGTACTTCTGCTTCTACTTCTTACAGATTCATCAGCCTCCTCTGCCTCAGCACTCATCAGCCTCTGAGTCAGCAGCCACCACCACCACCACCACCAGTGTCTGGACTCCATGGGAGGGATTTATCCTGCTGCCGCTCAGATGTCCCTCCATCACTGTACACTCACATTTTGCAAGCAGTACACATCAATCTGTACACTCATATTACATAATAAATATCATCTTTCTTCATTCTTCTGTCTCTCCTGATTGAAATATTTGCGCGTATCATTAACGCCACCTCTCTCAGCAACTCCTCACAAAAGCTGACATTGTTTTATCAAAGATATACAATGCAAGATTTTCCTAAATGTACAGACGCATACAGAGGTAATCTCTCTCAGTCATGACTTATGACCCACTAGAAGTGTGTGGTGGTGTATTTTTCTGCTGAGACTGCCTAGATACGTTTATGGCGTGTACCCCCACAGTGCTTTGGAGCTTTATAAAAAGGTAGCTACCAGACTGTAAGCAGCACACATCCAAGAGACAGAATGCTAAAAACGCAATGTAGCGAAACGAAACTCCAAACAAGAGTGAATCTGGGGTTGGCTTTTAATTTATTTCATATCATATATATTCATATATTTATCTATTTCATGGGTGAGTATGTCTACAAACAGTAACTAGCTATCCAGTGATAAAAGGGTGTACTTCTTTAAGAGAAACTATTGGTAAACCACACATTTCAACAAATTGTCTAACAGACTATTGTCTCAAATTGTTGTTTTCTCACTTCTGCAGTGTTGGTTAGGTTATCTATTGCCACTGGAGTATTATCACTTGGATAAAAAATCTCTTAACAGGAAAAACTGTGTGTTAATAGAGTGAAATTCTCACTACAGTGTTAGGTTTTTGTGAAAAGATAAAGAAGAATATCTTAAAACTGCACGACTTAGTTATCTGAGTACAGCCATTGTATTAGCCTAAATTGCATCCATCTTTTCAGCTCAATTGATAGGAAGTGACACATCAAACCTTAAAAACAAGAACTGTTTACTAAACAGCAGCGAGGGGACATCCTGCTGCAAAACATTTTCACCATCCTCATGGCCAGAAGCCACTCAGAGGAAGCCGATCGAAGCAAGTGCTGTTTTCAGATGTCACATCAATTCTGTCTTGAAATTCCAACCATTACCTCACTGTCATCTGAAGCCACAAACACGCCTCCCGCAGCTCTGGGACACTACACTGCAGATGACTTGGTCCATATTTTGTTGCCAAAAGGGTGCGCGTGTTTCATCAGCCACAGTATGTTACTCACCATGGTGCAGCTGCCCTCGGTGTCGTCCTCCAGCAGGCCCAGTCTGCACAGAGCCTTCTCATTCCTCAGCCAGTACTCCGACGAGTCCAGCACACTGTTACTGCACAGCACCTGCAGCACACAGATAAACCACTTGCTCAGGTGCAGCAGCACCAAAAATCACAGCACGCAGGAGCACAAGTGGAGCGTATGACTCCACACACACACACACTGTGTGAGTCACACATTCACTTTCATCTGCGTTTCCCCCTCTGGTTGTTGGGATCAATTGACCTTTCTCTAGGACCTTTATTTCAGGGTAAGTGTCAGCGGCATAGGATCAACAATCTGTCAGCGGACCAGACACTGCACAGTATGTATATGACAGTTACTGTCTCCTCCCTTGGGGGCCATTTTAATGAAGCCTTCAGGATGAAACCTACAGTCACTGAGCTTTGTCAATGACAGAAGAGAGTTTTTGTCCTACTGACTGACATACTCACTTGTCATTAACTATTGATTTGAGTGTAATTGAAGTTTCCCTTGAGCCTATATAGTGACCATCTGGTATATTTATAGTTATTTATTTGTAAAAGAAGGAGGCTACATTTCAAACAGTCTGCACCACTGATGTACAGCAGATAAAAAAATGGCATGCTATAAATAAAATCATTCTTATGCAATTACTTAGACATATGACAGATAATGTGTGTGTGTTCTTCCTGTGTGTATTTTTAGTAACAAATCATGCCCCCTCATGCCTACACCCTCAGGAAGAGACCATCTGTGCAGGCCCTCGGCCAGGTAAAGGTGACGTAGCCTCAGCTGATTTCGCCGAGAGCGATTGTATCAAAGGCTGCTGGCACGGGTCAGCGGAGCCCAGGGCCCAGTTAAATGAATGACATCACCTTGTGTCTCTACAGGACACCTGAGTGGAAGTCAGTTAAGATCATGAGCGGTAGGCTAATTAGGGACACACCAGTGAGCCCACCTGCACACACACACACAAACACAGTATGGGACGGACACAAATAGACCTACACACACTTTGAAAGGAAATTCAATCTTGCCTCCACCTCAGCCCACTGATCTGTGCTACCCTTCCCCCTCGTCTATCTGGCACCGGGGGATGATAAATCTACCGGGCTGACCCGAGGGCCTAGCTGTTCCTCTTATTGCACCACCCCTGGGTTTCACAGGCACCCCTGGAGGAGGAAATGAAAATCTCTTGCACTGCAGATAAACTGACGTGGGAGGCAGATATGATGGACAGGTGCACGGGCACATGAACAGAGAAAAAGCAGAAGTGGTGTGACAAGTGCTCACTGCACACACACACACACACACACACACACACACACACACACACACAGAGGGACACACAGGTAGACAGATTCCATCCTTTCTTACCTTCTTGCAAGCGCTGATGGACGAGCCCATGGTGCTCTCCATGCTGCCTCCCTCCACCTCGACCGCCTCTGAGCCCTCAAACATGGCAGTCGACTGGAAGTTACTGCAAGGCAAAAAGGGCACGGAGTTTGTCAGAGCGAGTTCTTGTCAAGCGCTCAACACCTCTCGGTTTTAAAAAAAAAAGCCTGGGATCAGAGGAAACGGCCCGTTGCCTGTCACATTTGTTCATACAGTACAGCAGTGGCACCTTTGCAATGAATCAACCAGACAGCTATTGTCACCACAGGAGAATGATGTCAATACTCTGAGCCAAATGCTTTATTATTCCCATGCTAGCAAGACAGCAGCAGGGCAGCCTCTTTTCTAGGAAAATGTACAAGTCTAAGCTCAACCACAGGACACCTCCTATCATTTAGTGAAGAGTGCCAAGAGTTTAGGTGTTGCTCTGTGGATGTCAAGACCTTTGTATCACATTATTATTTATGAGGCCATTGTAGCCTCACCTGCTGAAAACTTTCTTAGGGGATTTCTGTGATGTCTTCTCTCTCTGCATAAACACACTCATGACCCTAGCATAAATGCAAAGCCCTCTGCATGTTGGGCCCCCTTGGGCGAATCATGGCTTCTTGCAGAAAGCTATCAGGCTGCAGCTAAGCATCAAAGTGTCAATGGCCAAATCATGAAATTCTGTTTGGCGACGGAGGATTATAGCGGAACAAATGGGGGGGAAAAACATCATGTGACCTTCATTTGGCGCATGAGACAAAATTATTCAACAATCTGTAGTGATATGAATGTCTGTCAGAGTACGGCGAGCAGAAACACAACATAGCAAACTCAAAAATCCCAGGAAGGCGTCATTATCCTCCGTGCATGCTTTCACTGAGATAAGCCAAATCGAAGCTTATCTGGAATGGCATTAATGAGGATCAATTTGGAAAATAAAGAGGATGGGGATGCATATTTAAATAGGAGCAGCTGTTTTTTTTTCCTGTAATCCACATATTTCAAAGCAAATTAAAAAGCATTTCACTTTGAAAGCCCCCGAGGGATCGCACAACTGTATCTATTTGCAGTTAATGATGTAAATAATTGTGTCACAGGAAAAGTGAGTTTACTGTGAATGGCCAGACAAACAGATGATGTACTGGAGATAAGTGGATATGATGTGGTTGAAATAGGCTGCTGTATCTGTGAGGCACACATCAAAACACTCCATGCAACACACACACACACACACACACACACACACACACACACACAGGCAGTGATCCTGCAGTGAATATCTTGGATGTATGCAGAAAATTGGAAGCGAAGGACACTGTAAAAAAAAATGGAGGTGAAAAACACTGTAGAAAATCAGCATATTCTGGTCTGTCTGTGTTCATGTAAATGGTGAAAGATCTCTGCAGAAATTTGAGGATGACCAGCGGGACTGATTCGTCATGCACGACCTCCTTTCTAATCTTTGCGCTTAACGACCTCTCCATCACGACACGTTGATGATTGACAGGATGGTGCGCTCTCGTACTCCCGGGGCCTTCAGGTACCCAGCAGACATCTGCCGGGTGCGGGGGACGTAATTAACCCCTGAAATGTCTGGCTTTCAAGGACTGCTCCCGGTGCGCTGCTGTAATTTACTGTGAAAGCTCGCGTTGGTTGAGGATTTCGCCAGACTTTAGAGGCCAGCGGGTCAATTTAATGGTGCAACTTTTGGTGGCAACCTTCGGATTTCAGCGCTTTGGAGAGACTTTAGACGCACATAATAATAAATGGGGCAGATTTAGGTCTGGAGGGGTTGCAGAAACCTTTCATTTTCGCTCAAAGGAAAATCACACAGAAGACTAAGTGTGAGAATTAAAGATGTATATTCTGAAGGCGGCTACTGTGCACTTTACTTCATTGTCACACGTTTCTATCAGTCAGGGCAGGCATGCTGAAACATCTTGTTTACTGCACAAACACTGACAGTCGACTGAAAGCGGCTTTACTGCAACACTCTGCGTGGATTTTGGTGCGCTTTTTCCAACAGTAAACACAAACTGACACACTTTGAACAGCCAGAACATCCCAATGCTTTGATTCAGTGCAACATCAAACATCACACACATTTCATTCCAGTGCTTTTGTAAAAAAATAAAATAAAAATAAAAAAATAAAAAAAATAAAAATAAAAAAAATCTAAAATATTTCCAAAGGGTGCCACAGCAAATCATATGTGAAATATAGGAGAATACTCGCGTGGCAATATAGATGCAACAAAAAAAACTATAAAGTAGATGTTTACTACTGAAAATCAGACGCGCAATTGAAGTGCCTGGAGACATTTTGTTGATTTCATTTGGGAATATGCGCCTAAATACCCATCGATATTTTCATATCAATTCCCGGGATAATAAGAGTTTCTCACCTCGGCGTTTTCAGAAGGCACTCTGCGCCTGCCATTCTGTGAAAAATAGCCAAACTGTCCTCAACCCGGTGTGATTATTTCCTCTGTGGGGGCAGGGAGAGGTACAGCGGAGCGCCTCGACGCGTAATTGTCCCCGGGACACTCTCAGGTCCAGATGCGCATCCCCGACCGAGCACTAAAGGAATCCCAGACTGCTTCAGCGTGACTGGAGGAGGACTGTGATGAAGTGAGCTCCGCGGTATCAGCAGCAGCAGCAGCAGCAGTACACCACTGCCTGCCCTGCGCGTCTCTCCGCCAAGTGCCGAGTGCAGGCGCAGGAGCCCCGCGTGGATCAAAACGTAATGAGCTGCACGACGCAGGCAAGGGCATGGATATGGACAGTGTGCGCGCATGTCGACGCATGTGTACAAACAGACGCACGCGCAGACGTACGTGGAGCTGCGTGTTTTCAACCAATACACCAATTACGAACCCAATGTGCCACTTACAGTGTGTGTTTACTGAGGGCGAATCTATCTATTGATCACTTAAGACTGATGTACACACTGAAAAGTAACTCAGCAGTAGTGACATGGGGAATTAATAGAAGCTAAATAAATAGTAAAAAGAATATCTCCATCACATCTGGCTTTGATAGGACACCATCACTCTAACTTTCAGCTGCATGTAACGTTCACCTCCATTGTTTCCCCTGTTGTTGAGGCAGGTTGCTCTACCTCTCGTTACAACACCAGGTCTGTGCAACAGATTTTATGGCTGACCTGCTTTCTGCCCTCAACAAGCACACAGAAACCAATATGGTGCTCCTCAACCCATTTCAAGTGCTTATTTTCCAGCACCAGCCAAAGCAGACGTGCCTGCTGTTCGCGTATGCAGGGCTCATTTTCTGTGTACATGCACCATTTTTTTATTTTGTTTACTGCACCATTTGGTGTATTTGTTCTTCTTTCCCCAAGGCCACGGCCGGATCCGACCAAAAGAAATCCAACATCACCCACTGTAATGGTTTCTTTTTATTACAGTTCAAACATGAGAAAATTGTCAATGTGCTATAATGTATTCTAAGCTAACTTTCCCTATATTTTTCCTCAAAAACTCTAAAGAAATGAACTTCAGAATGTACATGGTCATAGTCAGGGTCATCCTGAACAGATCTGCATTGGAAATTTGAACAAACCTCCTTATGAAGGTTTAAAAGTGGACATTTTCACTATCTCACAGAATCATTTGGGCTGACTTTCACTGTACAGTTATGTACAGTACTTCAAAATGTATGTGGTCATAAGAACACTTTGAGCAGAAATCCATTGAGCTATTCATCAAACCTAATATGGCAATGTTTTTTAATGAATCTCTCTTTGTCCTTTTTAGCCGCTCCAAAGTACATAACAGCAGGAACAGACAAACTTCAAACTCTAAGCAGCAGCTGGCTTGATCGCAGTGTACGACACGGTGGTGCTGCTGTTATGCTGTGCTGCTCTGTCATGGCTCTATTGTGCGCTGCCAGTGTCCTTTCGAAGCATTGCAACATTATTGGTAAGAAATTTGTTTTTCATTGCATGAGAAAATAGACGTGGTGCGAGAGATGGTCAGTGCATGAGAGTTGCCAGCCCTTCACAACATATAATCTTTACCAAGTTACGTGCACTGCGTAGTATTTCGAGCCCTGGTATGTGTGACCTAGCCTGGAAAGGCCATCGTGATAATGTGAGCTCAACATTTTGTTTCACTCTCTTTGTCAGTCTGGACTTGATGTTGCCCCACACATCTTCAGTGGACGGGAGTACTCGCTTTGACAAACTCCTTCAGCCAATCACTGTAACAAAACACCAGGAACATCTTCCGAATCAACAGTGGAGCCAGTTCATAAATCAAGCTTTTGACAAATCCACTCAGGAGAACAGTGAAAACGTCTTTTCCTCAGAGAAACTCAGCGAGTGCATACTTTAATTGTTGTCTTTGACTCTATTTCTGCTATAACTTCACTTATTGCTGTGTTTATTAACGTTAGAGTTAGGCTAGTTGCTTTGGGAGCTGCCGTTACTGTTCTGCAAGCTGCGGCCTGCATTTTACGGCATAAACTCCAACATAGTCCCTGATTGGCTTCTTACGTTGTCAACTCCAGTACAGATCCCTGATTGGCCCAGATTGGATTTCAATTTCTGAAAAGTAATTTGGCGGCATCCAGTCAAGGCTGATGAAGAGAGTGAAACAGAATGTTGAGCTCACATCACATGTCTGTCTGTATGTCCTTTAATTTTCTCAACAACCATTCATCCAATCAACTCTTGGTGGGTGTGTCGCTGAGGACCCAAGGAAGTGCAGAGTTGAGTGCGAGCTCTTGAGATGTATGAGACATAAGTCCCAATTTATTAGTAGTGCTTTATGGACATACTGTGAAGTGTATTGAGAATGTATTAACTGTTTCACCACCATGCAGCATGCTGAGTACAGCTCGCTCTCCCTATCTCATTACAGCACATTTAACAACAGATGAAGAAAGAGAGAACGGACAGACTGGAGACATTTCAAGCATCAGCACTGTAACTTTCGAAATAAATGCTTCTGTTTCCAGTAATAGCAAAGATTTGTCTTCACTGAGGTCTTAAAAAGTTAATGTTAGCTTTTGATGAATGACGCATATACTCCAGCATTGCTTGGGGACACAACTATGTAATGGCAGCTGGGTTGGAAGAGAGTTACTGCTGCAAATATCTCAAGTTCTTGTTCATGAGTGAGGGTAAAATGGAGCGTGAGATGGATAGACGATGTGGTGAGGTATCAGCAGTGATGCAGGAGTTGCGTAGGACTATTGTGGATAAGAAGGAGCTGAGCAGGAAGGCAAAGCTCTTGATTTACTAGTAGTTTGAAGTTCTGTTTCTCAATTACGGTCATGAGCTTTCAGTAATGACCGAGAAAATAAGATCGCAAATACAAAGGGCCAAAGTGAGTTTTCTCATGAGGATAGCTGGGTTCAGCCTCAAAGACACTGTGGGGACCTCACACATCTTTGCGTCACTGGGGGCCAGTTGAGGTGGTCCAGGCATCTGATCAGGATGCCTGCTGTTAGACACTTTCCAGGTTAGTTCAACTGGTAGGAGGCCCTGGGGCAGACCCAGAACACACTGGAGGGATTACATATCTCATCTGGCTTGGGAACGCTATGAGATACCCAGGAGAGGGTGGAAAGCGTTGCTGGGGAGAAGGATGCCTAGAGTACTTTGCTCAGCCTGCTCCTGGCCTCAGATAAGCGGATGAAATTGGGTGGATCGATGGAGGTGTACTCCTTAGGATCAAGGGAAGTAGTGTTGAGTTGTTGAAGTTCTCACGAAAGCTGTAAGCAGCAAGACCGCAGGCCAAGCAATCAGCCTGTTCCAAACAGGCACGTTTTGAACAGGCAGGGATAAACTTAGACACTTTCCCTGAGCAGTCTCCATGGAAATATCCACGTCTTCAGTGTATCTTCTTTGGTATAATTACAGTGAGTGGATTTGAATGTTCAGTCACATTGTCCCGTGGTAACTGTCTGTAGAGTGACAGTGATAGACACGTTGGAGCATGAATCATGTTGTTTACAGAGCCTGGCTGAAACTGGAGTCTTGAGGCCCATACTGATGTTAGTATAAGAACACTGACATAGATAACAATGTATCAGCCAATATCTTCTTTTTTATTCAACATAAACACTTAACACCACCAAAAAGTTTAGATTACAATACCTTAAATTTGGAAATTTGGTCATTTAGGTATTTTCAAGGACAAACTGTGTAATAGCATCGCAGTTTCTATATTGCTGCAATTTGTTATTGCGTTATTGCACACCAGCTGACAGACACACCAATACGAGACAGCATACATCATTGTGCCGGCATCCCTCTGAGCGAAAAACTAAAAGGAATGCAAAATGCCTAGAACACACACACACACATACGCACACACCAGATTTCCAATTGCCACTTGAGACAGCTGTCATCTCCATCACCTTAGCAGCAATAAGAGAGCCTTCAGAGTAATATATACGTTCTATAACGTACTAATATATAATTAGGAGGGGGGGTAAAAGGAGTCGTGACCTTCAGTTCTCTGTCATCTGACTGAGACTGCTGTTGGGGGATAACAGCAGTGGGCAGAGAATAAAGAAATGGGAGAAAATCAGGAAAAGAGAGTACAGAAAATGCTGAGATCTGTATGTGAGTGAGTGAGTGAGAGAAAGGAAGAGAAATGATGCTTTTGTGGATTTGCCTGGTGGCCAAAGTGTACGTCTTCACTCTGCTGAAAGGATCATTTCTGCCAAAGGGAATGCTTATTTCCAGCATGCCCTCCACCTCAAAGAAGATAGATTTTTACATGCTGTTATCAGCTACCGTGTTATTTCTCTCCCTCCGGATGCCATTTGCTTTCATTCAACTCCTCACAATATCAAAACCCAATTTCTGTGATTTTTCAGTGTAGTTATGCAACCCAAAGGGAACACATACTGTATGTTTACAAAACGCTTGCTACGTCTAAACTATTAAACTATGAAACATTTAAAATGAAACACCTTCGTTGTTTCAGTATATTTGAGCATTTTGGAATAAATAACACACTCACAAAGTCCTCATTGAGTGTGTGAGCATAACTAGCTCAGCCAGTTTCTCCCAAAACTCTCACTACAGATTGTGATATAAATAGCAGAAGTCCTGCGTTAGCCAGCTCTTTTCACCAACTGTTAATGCCCTCCGTGGTTATGTACTGTACCATCTAATTTCATGCTTCTCAGCTGAGGAGAACTGTTTCTCCTGCTGAATATTTTATTTTAAAAAATGATTTAAATGAGGTGCTAAGGAAGCAAAATGTTTCCTTTAACATGGGCCCAATGATAAAGCAAACACCTGTTTTTATATTCCAATATCATAAAAATGCAACACATAAACAGCTACACGTTATGTTGCCGAAACTATCAGCAGGGAAAAAGCTTCAGACTCACCACAGCCACACTTATCGCATATGCATTAATGTGTAAACAACTATATATGGTATATAAATATGTATGTCTCAGAATCTCCAGCAACTTAGAGGCAAATCCTTAAAGGCTGCAAAACCAATCTGCCTCACAGCCGCTACACATGGAGGCACAATCAGGTCCTACATCAACTGGCGATCATCCTGGAAGGAAGGAGAATAACCAGCACTGCCGACTACTGGAAAATGCAGGTTGACCTGAATTAGAAACTCAGCTTTCCACCAGGGATTGTTACAACTAATCTCAGGCCAGACCTCACACACGTCCAGTTGGGGAAGGTTATGAACACAACAGCCTTACGTAGACAGACCTAGCAGCTGACGCAGAACAAC